AAATCCACACGGCCGTGCCCTTTTCCAATTTTGGGCAGTAGCCTCTTCAAATTTCACACGGCCGTGTGAAATTCCTGCCTTTTTCTTGCACGGCCGTGTGAATAATTGCAAAATTTGCAATTAAGCCCCTGAAAAATAAAAACTTCTTATTAGTGCCCCTGAAACTTTTTTTTTTTTTTTTTTTCAAAGCTGAAATAAAATAAGAACGAACACTAACAAGCTAAATAAATAAAAACAAAAATAAAAAAATAAAATAAAAGAAAGAAAAACGAAAGCTCGGGTTGCCTCCCGAGAAACGCTAAGTTTACAGTCTTCAGCCGGACTTTGTCTGCTTCTTTGTTCAAGCTAACGTGACCGAAGTCACTTGGCAATTGGATTCCTCTCCCCGATGATGCTCGTTTGATTTTTTAGGTGGCCACATCCTCCTTGCACGTTCATCACCGTTAGCACCCCAACTCTTTTGACTATCTCTCGGAGGTGTTGACATTGAGTTCGCACAACAAACGTGCTCCTTCCGATTTCCTTTTCCGTTGTCATCTCCTGCACTCAACGATGCTTTTCCATGGTCCAAAATTGAAACATCAAATTTTTCATGATTTGTAAAATCCATAAGCTCAATAGTAAAACACTCATTATTCTCACATGGATTTTTATTAGCACAAAAAACATTAAATTTGATCGTTTCATCATGCACCGTCATTGTAAGATCACCACTAGCACAATCAATTAGAGTTTTCGAAGTGGCTAAAAACGGTCTCCCTAAAATAAGAGGTATCTCCCTATCTTCATCTATATCGAGTACAACAAAATCAACCGGGAAGATAAATTTGTTCACCTTTACTAGCACATTCTCTAAAATACCTTTTGGGTAAACTAAAGACCTATCGGCTAATTGAAGAGTTATAGCCGTAGGTTCAATCTCACCTAATCCAAGATTTTGATAAGTAGAATAAGACATAAGATTAATACTAGCACCTAAATCAATAAGTGATCTAAAGTTTTTACCTCCTATAGTACAAGGGATAGTGAACTTACCTGGATCGCCGAGTTTTTGTGGAAGGGGCCGTGTAAGAATTGCACTACATTGTTCCGTGAGTTGGATCATCTCGTTCCCTTGCAATTTCTTCCTTTTCGTCACGAGATCCTTGAGGAACTTCACCCACTTTGGCATCTTTTGAAGGGCTTCAATAAACGGGATATTTATTTGGATTTCCTTCAGCTTGTCCAAAAATCTTTGATATTCGGCATCGAGCTTCTTCTTCATAAGCTTATGAGGATATGGAATCGGAGGGGCTCGTGATTTCACTGGAGATGATAGAGGTTCTTCGTGAGTCGCTTCTTGTTCTCCAATCACGCTCGGCTTCTCGATCACCGTGTTTTGCTTCTCTTTTCGTGGGGCTTCCTCCAATTGTCTCCCATTCCTTAAACTCACAGCGTTGCACTGCTCGACGTTGTTCTTCCGAGGATCTTCCGTATTCGACGGCAGTGCTCCCGATGGCCTCGCGGTTAGCTGGGTTGCAAGTTGACCCATTTGTGTTTCCAAATTCCGGATGGAGGCTTGGGTGGTTGTCATAAATTGCGCCAAGATATTTGCGAGATCTCCACCTTGAGGTTGAGCTTGAGGCGGATTTTGGAATCCGGGAGCTGGTCGTGAATAATTAGGCGGTTGACCTTGAGGTGGTGCTTGCCTTTGTCCTTGCTGATTTCCTCCCCACCCAAAGTTAGGGTGATCCTTCCATCCGGGATTGTACGTGTTGGAGTACGGGTTCCTCTGTTGTCGGTTGGTGTCATGCACATAATTCAGAGACTCCGTTTCTTCTACGCGTTGGTCGGGAACTTGGACTGCATGGACTTGCTGAGTTTGCAAAGCCGCTACTTGCTTCGATAGCTTCTCCAATTGGGCCGTGATTGCGGTGACTCGATCTAACTCCAAAATTCCGCCCGTCTTGACTGCTCCGCTATTCGACCGGTCCGATGCTCGCATGTATTTATTTCTAGCGATTCGTTCCAAGAGCTCGTATGCTTCGTCGTAGGTCAAACTCATGAACATACCTCCAGCTGCAGAGTCGAGCACTGTCCTCGAGTTGTCTTGCAGTCCATCGTAAAATATTTGCAGTTGGCGCCAATCTTGTAGTCCGTGATTCGGGCACCTCCTTACTAGCTGCTTGAACCGCTCCCACGTCTCGAATAATGCTTCTCCGGCTTCTTGTATGAAGTTTTGAATTTCTCGCCGGATTCTCTCAGTTTTTGTTGGGGAGTTGTATGTGTTCATAAAAAGTTGAGCTAGCTGGGCCCACGACGAGATGGAGTGCGGTGCACGAGTTTGCAACCATTCTCGGGCTGCTCCTTGTAGGGAGTGCTTGAACAGGCGGAGTTGCAGTGCTTCGGGTGTTACTCCGTTCATCTTGTGGGAGTCACACGTTTCGAGAAAGTTGACCAGGTGAAGATGTGGATCTTCATGAGCCAATCCGCTGAATAGACCATTGTTTTGGAGCATCGTGAGGAGTCCCGCTCGAATCTCGAAATTGTTGGCTTCAATGGGGGGCTGCTGGATGCTTGATTGGAACCCATTGAGTGTCGGAACGGTGTACTCGTGCAAGGCTCGTTGACGCGGTGGTGGATTAATTAGCTGGCGTTGGTTTTGCTCGTTGACAATTTCTCTCGCTACATTAGGTAGGCGCCCTTGGACACCTCCCCCACGATTATTCTCGTCTTCCATCGTTGCGGGAGTGTTTTGAGCTAACCGTTGATTTCTCCTGGCTTGCCTAAACGTTCGCTCAATTTCGGGATCAAGAGGTAGCAAGCTCGTGTCGTGTCCTCTTCGCATAAAAAGTACCTAAAACAAAATAATTAAATAATTAAATAAAATAAAATAAAAAAATAAATGGCTGAAGTAAGAAAAATTGCTCAAATTTAATATTAGGATAAATAAATAATTTAGCCGTATTCCCCGGCAACGGCGCCAAAAACTTGTTGGGTGCTAAATACCAACACGCAAGTGTACGTATCGCAAACAAGTAGTAAAGTAGACTCGCGAGAGTCGGATGTCGATCCCACAGGGAATACGCAAATTATTTAATCCCTAAGTACCAAATCCTAATAATTGTGATTTTTATCCAGCCTACGCAGGGTTGTCAAATTAATTAACTAAATAAATTAAACTAATTAAGAAAGCAAGTAATCACGAGAAAATATCAATAATAAACGGATCTAGGATTTTATCTTCCCCCTATGCGATAATTCTTCACCCGATTAATCTCCTATCATGCAAGTTACGATTCCCGATTATTAACCCAAGACACGAAATTATTCATAACCAGCTGTCGCTGCGCTATAAACCTATTATTCATAAAAGATTCACTATATGTCTATGCAAACCTAGTATAAATAAAGCATTAAATAACAAGTCTCGTAAACGGCTACCTAAAGTATTATCTGTATGTCTACGATAATACATGCAATTAACACACACATTCGGTGAAAAACTACTCGAAGGCTCTTCTATCCCTGTTCTAATTATTAAAACGATCTGTCAATCAATTCTAACAATAACAAATAGCAACATAAGTTATTAGTTACGTTCATGCACTAAATAAGATCAAGATAGAAGAAATAATCGAAGAATTAAACTTGCATAAAAGTAGAAAAATAGGTTCGAATTACCACATAGGGTTCCAATAAAATCCTAGAATAAAAACTTAGCTACTCATGTTCGTAACGAAAAGCATAATAAAAATACGAAAATTCATAAAAATCAGAAAAGAAAAGGAAAAAGGAAAACTAGGATGAAGAGTCGTCAAGTCTTCGTCTTCGTTCTCTTGCTCCTTAATTGCGTGTAGAAAAGATAAAAAACTAAAAACTAATAATAAAGATAAAAGGTAAAAGATTAAAAGGTAGGTCTAATTGTGTGCTCTTGGCCTTTAAATATGGTGCAAAAGTCTAATAGGGCGGGTTTCCTTGTATAATTGAATTTCCTTCACTGCGCCATCACGACCACCAGGACGGCCGTGTGAGATTGATGCCTAAAATCCGCACAGCCGTGCGGTCTTTAATTCTTCAGAAATCTGATTTTCTCACTTTTGGCCCACTTTTTCTCTGAATTTGCAGTTTTCACCCCAAAAGTTGCCAATTCTTCAAATTGCACCTAAAATACAAATAATAACCATATTAAGCATCAATTATCGTAAAAACACATCAAAAGCTCCAATTAAAAGGTACAATTAAGTGTATAAATATACACTTAACAGTAGGGGTGGAAAAAAATAAATAACATAATAATAAAAATTGACAAAAATATGAATTTTCAAAATTATCCTAAATTATTATTATTATTTTTTTTTTGAGAAACATTATCCTAAATTATGTTTAAGTTTAGGTCTAATGTTATAGATCCAAAGACTTTCTTTTATATACAAGACAAAGATTTCCGCTTTCCCTTTCCGCATTTTATATTTCTTTTTTTTTTCTTTATTAATTGGCTTGATTTCACTTTTTTTTTTTTGATAATTGGCTTGATTTCACTTTGAGCCTTTGAAAAAATGAAGGATAAATGCACTTCTTGCGCTAAAAATTTCTAGTCCCCCGCCCTATAAATTAAAAAAATTAGACTCTTCCCCTTCCAAATTTTGTTATAGTTGCACGTTGCCCTAAATGAGACTTTTCGGCGTACTTCTCACCAATTTTTCATATCTTCCTCAATTTTAAGGGTATTTTCGTCTTTTCACCAATCTCACCCAAATATTAATATCATTGAAAAACACAAATGTTGAGATGGGTTCAGATATTGTTGTTGCATCAATATCGGGTTGGATCTTCGCCCTTAGAAATCGAGGTTGCCGGGGTAGTTGAACTTTACGTAAAATGCATTGACGCCGACACAATGTTCCCTTTACCGTCGTCGCCGCCGCTTTGAATGGGCCAGAGAATGAGGGGGTGTTGTCGCCGTTATTATCGTAGGTTTTAATTGCTTGTTTCCCATTCGAGCTAATTACAGAGAAAATATGGCTACTGTTGCTGGTGTTTGTGGTGAAACCCTATCATATGTGAGAAATCCTCCTCATTTTAAGGATAAGGATGGTGAGCCAACGCAAACACACTATGGAAAGAACGAGGTGAGGATTTTAATGGCGGCGCTCTGACAGTGTTAAGCAGTTGCTTCTGAGAGAGTTGTTTAGGGTGGAGAAATTGGCCGGAATTGTGCTGGTACCAGAGGCAACTATAATATTTGGGTGCAACTTGTGAAGGACGAAAATGCCCTTCAAGTTGACGTAAATGTGGAAAAACCTGTGAAACATACGCTGTAAAGTCCCATTTGGGGCAAAGTGCAACTTAACAAAATATGGAAGGGGGAGAATCTCATTTTTTAATTTGTAGGGGGAAGTGAGAAAACTAGAATTTTCTAGGGAGCAAAGTGCATTTTGTCCAAAAATTAATAGCACTTTGCACCCTCGAAACACAGTAAATTATTAATAATGCACCCTTAATTAATATTTAAAACTTAACGAGGATAATTTCAAATTTGATTGATTTTTTTTTTATTTTTTTAGGGTGCAAAATAACAAATTAAATTGTTATTTTCTTATTTATCTCCAACATAAATTAGAGTACAAAATGCAAAAAAAAAAAAATCACAGAGTATTACTGAAAAAAACTATAATTTCTTACAAAAAATAAATAAAATTTTCTCACTAAATAATTCGATTGATTAATCTTTTATGATAATTAGTAAAAATATTTGGAAGCAAATATAATTTTCAAATAACTTCATAATAAAATAGCTGAAGGATTTTTGTTTGTTTTTTAGAAAAAATTGTGATTTATTTATAAATATATTGGTGAAATTTATTTAAATTTTTGAACTTTGTAGTTTCAAAAGAATTGTTGAACAGAAAAATGATTTAACAATAGACATCCTAAAAAATACAACTAAAAATATTATATAAGGTAAAAATTCACTCGAATAATTACGCCTGATTTATTGTGGAGAATTGT